CATGTTTATTTACGTCCTGTAAATCATAGGGTTACGAACTAGATCATGGACATTAGTACTACTACTACTAATAATAATAATAATAATAATAATGATAATAATAATGGTGGTAGCTGTTGTTATTGTTTTGTTTTTTCTGTAACAGTGGCACTGGTATTGATTGTTTTTCTCTTATCATATTATTGATTGAAAGTCATTACATTTTGACATATTTTTTGGCTTTCTTTAATGTATTATTACACTTGAATTTGTATTTTTTTTTTGTAATACATATTTGTGTACCTGTTTACATGTGGTTTCACTTAGATGCGTATTTGTGTATATGTTGGTTATGTTGAAATGAATCGTATCAATAATACTGTATTTATTTTACTATACATTATTAATTATTTACATTGATGCCGGTTCTTTGGTTTTAATTATGTACACACACTCACTCACTCACTCACCCACTCACATAAAATACATGTGAACCAGTGTATTTAAGTTTTTTTTCTCCAAATATAATGATGATACATGTAATGAGACATTTGTAAACATTGTAAACGGATTAATTCATTGTTGTTAAGAAATCACCAGGATACCTGAGGCTACAGGTTTTTTTTATAACTGTTCTTTTATTAAATAATAATAAAATAATTTGAATGGTTAAGATAATGAGTCAGTCGAAGCTAGACCACCATGGAAAACTTGAAAGCATTGGATGGCCGTTTCGTCCTATTGTGGGACTCCTCAGCAGTGCACATCCACGATCCTACCTCGCGAAATACTTCATTATATATTTGTAACTAGGCTGTTAATACATGATGAAGAGATATAAGTTAATGTGAAATCTTTCTAAGCACACAATATCTAAAATCTGATTGGAATAGCTAAACGGTAGTAAGACTCAAACTTCACAATTAAATACATCATTATCGGTATTTACTGAATGAATTAAAAATAATTATTCTTAATTAGAATATTAAAAATTCCCATTATGATAATCAGAACGAAATGTATATAAGCGAACAATATTGTTTTTTTTTTCGGAATTAGATCTTTATCAGGCGTTACTATAATCTACATGAATATTTACATGGGTACATCAATATACTAAACCAATCAAGTCAATATCTGAGTTAATGATCACAATGAAATCGACCGCATAGTAATACATAATGGGTAGAAAGTACAAATTGATAATAAAAAGACAAATGTACTAGTAGTGATAAAATAATTTGAAAAAAAGGTCGGTGTGGATGGATGGATGAATCAATCAGATACAAGATAATAGGTCTTAGATTCGTTCATCCGTTTGGCTAAATAGCGTTTTGGGATTTTAGCTAATGTCAGTTCGTAATGATAGCTCCAAATCTAATTCTTACCCTTAACCATCAACTATAAATCATAATTCTAATTCCTCACGCTAGTTTCTAACCTTCATTTAGTCCTGGTTAATAGGTGGACATTCTCAAGGTCACCTTAGCGTTACTCAAAGGTCGTCCATAAATTATAGTCTCACCAGAGCTTTTAGTAAATAGTAGATGTGGATTAAACTAGGATAAATAGACATTCATATAATCACAACACACTAGTAATATTACGTAATAATTATGAGTTATTTTATATAAAAATTAATATTTAAATGTCTAAAATTACTCTTCATAAATTAGTTAGGTTATTACAAATTATAAATTCAGTATTGTCTTGTTGCTTAGTCATTACTATTTTCTAATTTTTCACAACCCTAATCCATGGAAAGACAACTTATAATTGAATAATCACTGGGTAGTAATCAATGTCATGTTTGTCAGATCCTTCTTAGTGCAACATCTCAGTCCTGTAGGAGGTCAGTCGCAGCTCGAATAGCTCAGTGGCAACGTCTCTGACTGTGAAGCTGAGTGATACGGCATCCAATCCATCAGGGAATACCAGTTCTCTCAAGATTAAAAGTACACCCTACTGACGAGTGCTAAATAGCACGAAACCTAGGTCTAGGGTTTTCCTGTCGTCTACCTCCAACCATCATCGCACGGAAAGACAATGTTTATTCACTAATGACTGGCTCATTCACATGTGAAAAACATTCTATAAAACATATTTGTATTAGTTTTTTCCTATGTTTTGTCTTGAATGTAAAATCATGACGTAGTGGTTTAAGACGCTTGGCTTTCGACAAGTAGATCACAGGTCCGAAACCCGTTTAAACTACTTGTTTCTGCTTAATCATTTGGCTAATAGTATTGTTAGCTATTAGACAATCAAAGTGTAGTTTAAAGCTTGGTCCATAAATGAGATACCTCACTTTTTTCACTTTAGTAACCACTTTCAAGTTCTTGTTTTTAATACAGAGTGGTTACACAAATTACAGTATATAGAGTGAAGTTTAATGTTGTATCTTAATTCATGAATGTTGAAGGACTAAATTATCAGTTCACTATCCAAACTAACCGAGAAACAATTACTCATTTATTTGAATAAAATTACTACCTAGTTGATTTATTATGTCTTCAGTCCCATCTAACTAGAGGTTTCAAGTTTGAATTCCTTTCTATTGTTCATATCTGATTATATCTTTAAGTCTCGTATAATAAGTTTGATTTGAAGCATTTTACACGAACTTATGGGGTTACTTATTGAATTGGGTCAATAATTAAATAATTCTATTTTTTTTTAAAAACTACATCGTACTAGTTTCTATGCATTGCTTGATTAAACTTGGTTAAATAGACTGTAATATAATCACAACTCAGTATTTCCCTGCTTCGGTATGAGCATCCGGGCAATATTCCAACCCTCACAAAAATCGAATAAAGAAATGTGGCGTATATATATTTGATACCTCCTTTTACCAATGTTTACATGTTCAAATAAATGAACAAATAAGTATTGTTTGTTTAAATGATCCTATTGATGTTTAGGACTGTTATTTATCAGTCTATTTTAGCATATTTATATCCTGTACAAAATAATTTTAATACTACGGTTAAGTCATAATCATTTTTAAATAAAGATTAATTTAGTGATTAACAATGGAATGTAGCATGCACGTTTCATTAATATATAACAGTCATCATTTGAATTATCCTTTCTTCATTTAGTCAATTGTTAAATACTATGTAAAACATTAGTTACATACACATTTTGTACACACTAATATTAGTACATATGTAATGAACGAAGACTTGATAGAGACAATCAATTTATTGTTTAATGTAACATTACTGAATATCTTCCATTTGCACATATTCCATCAGTTCCATCTTATAAACTTTATCGTTCCTTCATTCCTGTTATTTATTACAATTACTCTCTGTTTACATTTTTTTTTGTTTACGTCAATTTGATCTTCTCAACTTTCTGTTACGAGATATTCCCCTTCTGATTGATGTTATTTACTACTTGTATCTGTCAACATAAGTGGCATACACCACACATGCATTACAATATATGTTGGCCTTAGTTTATTTTGAGTGATTGATTGATTGATTCTTTAATCATAGGTTGATTGATATTAACTGACAGAAATATGAAGTATTCAATGAATGTATGTTGTTTCGTTTTATACAGGTCCTATAGTAAACATTTATGAAAAAATTGTGTATCAGTTCTAAAGTCATGCAATAGACATGTCTCTATTGAATTATTTAGTTGAAATGCTGTGTTTATTTGAATTGTGATTTACTCAATTTTATTAACTATCATACAAAGATATTGTGTTTTGTAATTCCAGATTTAAGTATACTTCAGCTTTTATTTTCATCTTAGATGATTAATCAGTTCTGCTGGGTTGATGCTTGACACTAATTCAGAGAGCTTCGATTGAGGCTTTCTAATTCAGTTCATTTGTGGCGTAGACAGGATAGTTGTCTGCTAATCAAAAGGTTAATATTCTGCACAGTAGACCTATTTTTGTGGTACTCTATGACTAAAGTATACCCTATAAAATTAGATATACTTAGGCTGCAGGTGTCTTCGAAACATTCTTTGGGTATTGTGAAATATTTGAGTCAATAGTGCTGAGATTATTCAAATGATATTTTTAGAAAAGATGTCAATCCGGCTGATGGGGTAATAAGTTTAAAGACTCATACTGAGGTAGTTAGTACATGTATTACGTGTTCCTAACCATTACCTCTTCTACGAGCGGTGTTGGTTGATTGATGTCGGAATACATTGGAAAAAACTTATGGTCAACCTTATCAAAATGTGGTATTATTTACCTTGAAGCCACTGATTGTTAGTCTAAGGTATGTTAAGAAATGAAGACTACCTGGTTGTTTTATTCATGAGTACTACACTTAGTGATTTGAAACATTAGATGATGTGTTTTACAATCGCCCGCATTGGTATGAATACACTCATTCCTTACCTTTATCTAGATATTGAATTCTGTTATTCCTTCATACATCTATTTTAATTCTTTCTTTTCAAACCATTCTCTCAATAATGAAGAATATTTGAGCGAACAATTGTTTTCAATAACTTCATCATCAGCCTCTACAATTATAAGTCCATAATTATAATATTTTACAAAGACCAAAAATAAGGCATGTATTAATGAATTTGACCATGTTAAAAATGGTGAACGTTTGCATTCTCTCAATATTTAATCTATTTTTCTTTTCATTAGCGTTACTTTATTTCGATCTCTTCTTAATGTTTGTACATTAAATTTACTCATTGTAGACAGATTTTTGCTCTACTTATCATCAATTATTGATTCATCTTATTAGGAATCCATGGAGCTTTGGATTATCTTATTTTATATTGTTGCTCAATAGAGTTATATTAGTCAGTTTAACGTTGAACGATAATGAAAGCATTATGATATGGTTTTATTCGTCTTTTCTCATTGAACTATAACGTAGAATCTTACTTAATAGTTATGACTTAACGTCAATAGTTATGTGTTCTTTTATTTCGATAATGAAATTGTTATCAATGTTCTTTCCTATTTCGGAACCCTTACCCTTTTGTTTCTCTTTTCTAATTTTACTCTGTGATATTATTTACAGCTCCCGGTGGTGAAGCTGGCTGTGATATTTCCCAAATACCGTGTCGTGTATGCAGTGGTCCATCTTCCGGTTTTCATTTTGGTGCATTAACATGTGAAGGCTGCAAGGTGAGTATCTATTTCTTTCAAGTACTATTATTATTATTATTTCTATTATTATGACTGTTATTTGAAATAGTTTGGGTACTATTTTTTTTATTTATTTAAACCATCGAATGCCGACTCAGTGATCTAAAGGTTACAAGTCTTCAAGGTCATCAATTTACTCTTCTGGGTAGTCTCATACCGGAACGAAACCACTGGTTATAAGTTACTGTTTAATGATAATCATTATTTGATGTTAACTATAACATTCAGTTTTCCATCAAATGAACTTTTATATTCTATTTTTATCCTTTATGTACTAATGGTTTTTTCTTAAGGTCGTTTCTAGTGCAAAAACATGACCTTTGTGTTTTAATGATGACCTTTTTATGATTTAACTGTGCCTTTGTATGTTTATATGTTTGTATATGTCGTTAAATGTTTTATAGTCGTTGTTTATCATCAATTTGTCTTATTATCTGGGTCAATAAATGAACTCGTGAAAAATATGGAGTAGATTTTCATTGTTCTGATAGACAAAGAGACTAGATAATTGACATAACCTTGACCCAGGCGAAAGATTTTTTCTACGTAAATTATCGTGGTTAGATGTACTTTCGTTATGAATGAATTCATTAGGATTGAACTGATAAATATCATGACCTTGTATTGATAATGAGTCCGGATCTGAGGTTGAAACAAATAACGAATATTATAATTGTCCAATGAGATTGAAGAGTGTCGTGATCAATTGTTTAAACTAAACAATCACAATACGTTGAATTTCAATGAGTATTTCATAGTATTTTCTTCACTTACGTACCAACTAATAGGATTAAGTATTTTGAATTAATAATATACTTTGGAACTGATGAAATGCATCAGTAAGATGGGACCATATTTTATGGGTGACTTATAAGCGACGCTAACGTGACCTTAGGGGGATTCAATTTAATACTAGGTCTAAATGAAGGTTATAAATTAATGCGAGGAATTAAGGTAAGAATTTACTGTTCAATATTAGAATTAGGGTTTTCATCACTGAACTGTTGTCACAATTAATGCTGTAGAATACTCTTTCGCATTAGGTATATATTTACAATATTCAGTCTGTTAATTTCATTTACACCCATGATATACTTTACGAATATGTCTTCAATATAACTTCCAAACAAACCCTCTCATATAAGCAATTTAAACCCATTATATAATTATGGATTTTAAATATCACAGGTTGTAAGCAGCTGACGAGAACCTACGAAATAAAATGAATTCATGCTATTCTTCTAGAATGTTTGTTCTTGCTCTTTTCAAAATGATAAAGGGAACTATGTGTATAAAAAAATAGACTAGAATATTTACTTTCACCCTTTGTTATCAAAGGTTAAATGAAGATTAACCATGGACTTTTTTTTAAAACAAATGTCAGATTAATTTCTTCTAATTGCCATGGCTACAACAAATGTTAATATTAGCTTAAAGTTAGATTGTTTGTTAATTACTTCGAATGTATTAACTGTATTCACTTTATGTTCCATGTTTAGCAAGTGACATACTGTCAAACTACAAGGACTATTTTCTCAGAGGCTTAAGTTCTTGAGAATATGTTCAGTAAAACACCTATCTTTCCAATGTACATGATTTTTGTCGTGTACTTGTATTTTCTTTTATATAGTAGAAGATTTTTTCTAATTATATCAATTAATTCACAAGCCAAACAACTGATGGATTTATACTAATTCATAATTTAATTATAATAAACAATGTTATGTTGTTTAATCCTCCATGGTGATTGATTTCTCTCGATCGAATTATTATATATATATTCACAGATCTAAATGATTCTATACCACGTTGAAATTTGTTCTTAATGTTAGATTATTATAGATGTTTAAAAAGGAAATCTTTTCGCTACTGTTGATTGATAATCACTCTATGAGGATATATTTTGTAATGACTTTTCAGACCATGGTAATTGTAGGGTTCGAATCCGTGTTACCTAGTTACTATAATTTGTAGCTTATATTTGTGTGATATACTTTAATATACGAATTTTCTCTCAAATTTTCAACTATAGAATTAAGTTAATCAATGTGTCCAAACTTAATGAAATTGTTCTTAGTGTAGTGTAGTGTGGTCATGAAGTGAAGCTGGTACATATCATTAATCGTTCTCGGAACATTCACAAACTTGACAAAATTTCATCAATAATCCCTAAGTAGAAAATGTTCACTTTTTTCTTTGCTTATCTCACTTGTGTAATTATTTTTTTTATTTTAATGGATTTGGTTATTTAATTTACGCACGATTAAATAGAATTATTTTGTCTATTTACGTTTTGCATCATTGGTTTCGTTACTTAGTAAAGAATATTTCAACTTTCGAAATGAAAAACAAACAAATCAATTCTATCAGAAAGGGAGTTTGTAGAGTTTGTAGTCATTTAATTGTTAAATTCATGAGTCGATTGTGGATGCCCACTGCTGAGGAATCCTATACTAGGACGAAACGGCTTCCAGGTTTTCATTGGTGATCTAGCTTCAGTTGACTCATGAATTCAAATATTAGATAAATTGTCAGTTAGTGGTCTTGAGTGCTGTTAGAGGTATGAGGGCGGTTATCAATTCCCCGTTGCCAACACCGTGGAAAGGTTCTTTTGGAAGTACCTGAAAACGAAATTGGACTAAAGGCGGTTATAGTGACCTGAGAGCGTGAGCTCAGCGCCCAAGAGACAACTGCTTGAGGTTGGTCACAAACAACCTTTCTGTGAGTAATTTTCGTGTTAGTTCCGTACTTGTTGAGACCTTACCTCCGGAGACGGATGTCCTTGGGATAAGGCAAGGTATGCACTTTTAGGGTGGACCCTTTCTAACCTCACCCTCTTTGTGGGAAGGCAGCATCGCTGTTAAGCTGGTTCAAACCTGAGATAGTGGCTAAAGGTCAGACACATTAACAACTGAGCCATCGTTTCTGTTTAACGGTAAAGTTTTTTTTTTCTAACTGTCACACAATTCGATATCAGTTCGGAATTTCTCTATGGCATACATTTTTTTGTCAATAGTAATACAATCATTGAGAAGCAAAAAGCACTTGATAGCTGTTTCATCTTAGCATGAAACTCATCAACGATTCAAATTCACAACCTTATCGAGGATAGAACCTAGGACCTTCAAGTTTCGTGGCGAATGCTTAAGTTTAAGACTAGTGATTTATAATTCAATGGTTTACATATTTGAATTCAATTCTCATTTCCTTTTTTATAATCCTATGCATAAATGAACAATTTGTTATAAATTTCTACTTACTTAATAGTGATGTTGTCTAATACTTGTTTTTGCACAAGAATCATAAACTTAACTAGGTTTGTTTCATTACATTTTCATTTCCACTTTTCTATTACATTTTTTTTTCTTACTTTTAGGGTTTCTTTCGACGAACTGTCTTATCCAATGTTCGTTTAGAATGTCTTGGCAATAATGATTGTCCAATTACACCAGCTAATCGAAATATGTGTAAAAGTTGTCGATTTCAACGTTGTCTAGCAGTTGGCATGTCTAAAACTGGTTAGTTGTTATTTCGCTTTCCATATATATATATATATATATATATATATATATATATATATATATATATATATATCATGCTGTTGTACCGAATGAAAAAATGTGAAAATTACGTATGAATGACCATTTATTTGAAATCAATAATTGAGGTAATTATTCGTAGACTTAGAACAGATTATGAACAATATATTTTCTCTTACCTACTTTTTGACATCTTATAATATATGTAGAATAGATGGAATGTGGTAAGTAGTGGAATTCAAAGTGTGCATTTCGTCTTACTTGGGTCTCATCAACTGCTAGCTACTCTTTATTTGTTCTATACAAACATGTATAATAATGGATATATTGAGGCAATCTACACAGGATGCATATATATCAATCAAAACTCTGATCAAATTCCAATCAAAAATAAGATCACTGAAACTATGAGAAATTAAATTTGATAGTATATTGTTTCTATGATTATTTTTTCTGGTTTTAGTAATTAAACAATGGCTTATGTAGTTAAATAGTTAAATAGTTCGTATTTCCAAGTGGTCCTCCATATATAGTCAAGTATACGCAGCTGATTAGTATTTCTAGATCTTTCACAAATGATATGACAGATATGATATATCTGTCATATGTACGTATGTACGAAGTTCTACGTTGTTACTGACTGATTGACAAATGATATGACTATTAATTGATAAAATTAACTTGTACTTGGTAATCAATTTACATGTTAACTTTAATGTATAAACTTGTAGGAACGATGTAACATTGTATTGATTATGTTACCTTATGGTAATCCTTCAAAATTTTCTTACAAAATAATATTCTACTCTTCTTCATAATCGATAATGGGGATTTTGTAATATCGAAAAGATTACAATTGATTGTGATAAGTCTTGCGGATTGAACGGTATATTCGTTTCCTAAGCTGTTCTGTAACCCTCAAGCTAGAACTATACAGCGATCTAAACAACGAGAGAGAAGACGCAAAGCATGCGAGAAGCACTTCACTCCAAGGTTCATTTCAATACAGAAAATACAGGGTTTTTACAATATTTTAAATGTCCTTTGGTTGCTCGAAGATTCTGTAATGCTACTGAACATAGTAGCAGTGTAGCAATCAACCAATCAGAACCTCTGCATGTGACGTTTCTCTTCCTTGATATTTTTGGCTAAAACTTCAATTGAACGCTGATTGGATGGAACGCTTCTTAGTGTTTGCTGATGATTGCTTGTCTTTTGCAAGCAATTTTCTGGATCACTCCAACAGATTGATCACTGAGTAGTAGTCAATGTTATTTATTTCAAGTTCTTAATGCAGATTGAATTCTATCTATCGAATTGCAATGTTTTCATTAGACTAAATGACTGGAAATCACGTGCACTATGTTGAGATGTTAAGGTAGTGATTGGATGTAATCAACAGAAAATCTTGTACCTAAATTTCTAACTATTTGACACTCGTCAACCAGGTGTACATGTAATAAATTTCAAATAAATCTCAGTCCTGCAGTAGATCAGTCGCGGCTCGAATTGCTCATTAGCAACATCTCTAACTGTAGAGCTGGGTGAGACGGGATCCGATCTGTCAGGGAATATCAGTTCCCTCAACATTAAAGGTACACCTTATTGACAAATAATTCTCATTTAAACATTAAAATTAAAACACGAAGTTCAGCGAAGAGATCTTTTTTCAACGAATTTATTACGAAGCTGTACAATCGTATATATATATGAAAATTTTGTTTTTGTAAAAGTACTAATTCCGTGAGGAATTATTGACACTACCTCCAACTACTAACTTAAATACTGGAATGTATTGTAACTCAGTTAGTTGTTTTTTCCACTAAAAATTTTTTTGTTATCATTCTGAATACGATCATTACTGCTTATTTCCAATCAAATGCGAAACTAAGAGAATGCAAAATTACTAACAGGCCATAAATTCTAGTCCACTCCCCGTATTTTAGTTTCTAGCCTGTTTCGTCAGCCGTCTTTATAAACTACTACTGTTAATGCACCCAAGCTTATTCAATATAATCAATAGAAAGATTTCATCCTAGTTGATTACCGTTGTTCGTCAGCTGTATATATATATATATATATATATATATATATATATATATATATATATATATATAACCAATCATCATAGAATACTGATGCCTCAAATCTAAACAAACTAATTTACTCTTCTAAAGATTACACTTTAACTAAATTTCTAGTTGCTAAGTCATATTTGTTAACTGTTTCAGTTTTACAGTTTGTAGACTGTAATATTAACTTTTTCCAAATAAACTTTTCTAAAAAAAAAAAGAAAGAAAGAAATGCACACAATATTCTGTTTAAACACAACTAAATCGTATAGAAGATAACATTTTTTCAAATACATTTTGTTACACTGAATGTTTTTACTGTATCAGAATAAAATGAGAACTCTTATTTGTTACATATATATCCATATATATTTTTTTCTTATATAGAATAGAGGAAAAATAAGGTTATTGTATGTAGCTATAGGTACATAGATTCGAAGTGTAGACATTTTAATGTCGGATAGTTTATTCTCTCCTTTCTTCTTCTTCTTCTTCTCTTTTATTCTACTAGTTGTATCATTCATTAATTATTATATTGTCTTAAAAAAATTATAAAAAAAACAAACATATTCCGTCAACAATTTAAACCATGTTATACAAGCATGTGGGAATAAACACAAATAAAGTTGGCTTGATCGACTAACTATTGGATGGGGTATATATGTAGGAATGTATATTGGGATGAGCTCTGTGTGTAGTCTTTTATCATTTCTCAATATGTATAGAAGATTATATGTATTGAAGTGTCATTGATCGAATTGTATTAGTATGTCTGTAGTTTCATTTCTTTTTTTTCATTCTTTTCTGTCTCCTTTTTTTGTTTGTTTGTTTATTTATTTGTTTGAAGAACCATTGAAAACTAGAAAAAAAAAGTAGTAAAAACATATTTTATTTTAATATGAAATTTTAAAACAATATAGGACAATGGAACAGTTTATTATGTATTGAATCTGATGAATTTCGGTTTTGTGTGTGTGTGTGTTATGAGCTAGATATTTTTAGTTTTGTATCACTAGCTTTCAGTTACCTTTTAAGTATGAAGGCTAGTGGATGGTACTTTGTTGTTCAAATCGTAATAGATGGAGAGCAAGAACAAAGATTGGTGCAGAATAATAATTGGATTCATTTTATTTCGTTAGGTGTTCATCAGTTGCTTACAACCTAAAATATTTGAAAATCAAAGTTATTACAGATATTGACATACTTATGCATAAGAGGGTGGTTATGGATGCCTATATGTATCATGATGTAGCGAAGATTCCGATAGAGTTAATGAGGTCATAAAATATTTCAAATAAACAAAGTTTGGGAGGAAAGGTTCCAGAACGTTGAAATAGTGATTAGAACTCATGGAATCTAAAACCCAGATGATTATGTAATGAAGTAACTGAAAATAGATTAATGGTAGTAAAGAAGGATATGAATTGAAATCAGTCATTTATGAAGCATGTAATTTTAAAAATTCAGAAAGAGTTGGACTAGTGAGTGACGTAATAAATAAATAAGGGGGGGTAATGTTACTATGGCAAGGAAAGCTTATTTATTTATTTTTATTTCAACACATAGATATTGGTACAAGGAGGCACCAAATACATATACACCACACAAATCTCATTTGATATATTTGAGGGCTGTGATACTGACCGGGTGCCTAAACCGAAACAGGTGGTCATCTTAGGGGGTCACACCCGGAGCCTTTGACCTGAAGATCTGATCCACAAGGCAGTGGAGCAACGTAAGGAGATGCAGTTACATGGTAGCCAGTGACCAACGATTGGTTCATACGTCATTTGTTCCTTCAGGATACTAGTGTCCATGTGCACCTTTAGTTTGGAGTGAGGGTTTTTCAACTCCTCTAGATGGACTCTCCTTGTCCATCGAACCAGTTAAAGCATCGGACATTCGTTTTCGTACTCTCAATTTCGTAAACAACAGTGATGCCGTGAGAAGGCAGTGAGTAGGACTTCCCTTGCAGAGGCTATATACGCGTAGCCATGTGAGAACATTTGGAGAGGGAGAATGGACTCTCCCTACTCTCGGCCATATCAGGGCATTTGGGGGCGTTTGATTGCTATCGCTTTGGCAAATTTCAAAAGATTTGAGTTTGATTGACTTCGTGTCCTGTGTCAAGGAGATTTCTTGCGATGGCACTGCTGAATGCTTTTAGTACTTTTGATCCTAAACTCTTCGGAATATGTTCTTTGAATCGGACGTACGCTTTCCTTTCTGTTGTACTAATGTAACTGCTTTGGCAGATACATGTAAATTTGTAATAGATGGAGTGGCATTCGAAACCGACACTTAGTTTCTAAAAGTTGAATACAATAATTACTTATCCTTAGTTTCATATAATGACAGATCGAGATAAGTATGTATTCAGTAGATATATTATAACGGTTTTTCTTGAGAAATTTACTTTTAAAGAAGAATGTTACTAAACTCAAAGGGCTCTAGTTGTTCCAAAAGTTTAACTTACTATAGACATGTATATGTGCGTCCATATTCTTCTCAATACATATTGGTCTCTTTGTTCAAGTATGTGTACACAATATTAAGTGTTTTAAACATTATGGTTTTAACACATTATAGTACTGTATCATTACATTTATGGTTAGTAATTGTTAAATAACATTATTACGCTTGGTCCTTAGTAAATTAAACAATAGATAACTTTATATATCATGTAGATTTTTATGCTGTTTCTTCATCCCTCTCTCTCCGTTCTGAGATATCTGTATCTTAAATCATATTGCATTATCTATCGTTATCATGCTTACTTACTTACTTACGTCTGTTACTCCTCTTGGAAAAGCATATGTCACCCACCAGGATAATAATTTTGCGTTATATTATGGATGTTAGACAGCACTTATAACCTACCGATGTGTTATATTAATTGACAAATCACCATAGAAATCTTGCTTTATTTCATAATGTGTCTGTGTAAATGTGTGTGTTGGTACAACCTAATTTATTGGTATGTAATGAAGCAGAACAAAATGTCACAGTGCAATTACTATTCATATGAAATCACCCATACAAACACTATCTAGGGCTCTCATTTCAATTGTTATATGCATTTGTCTTCTAACGTATTTGTTTGGTTATTGATATCGCGAACTGACCTAGCCGGACAACAACTGAAAACCTGCGATCATTGAATAGCTGTTTCGTCCTAGTATGGGGATTCGGAAAGTCTTTTTATGATCTCAACAAAATTCAGTAATCTCTATAAGTCATCCTACTGTTAATTATCATGTGAACATTAGTGACTTACTTTCAAGGGAAATTTCCGGAGTTCACTAGCATACTTTATCGAACTCTGTCCTGGACAATCCTTTCCAGTTGCTTCCAATTCTCGACTCAATGTGTCCCTTAGTCTTCCTCTTTTCCGTTACGCTTCAGGATTTTTAGGTATTTAAAAGTTTACACCCGTTTCAGAGTTTCTCCATCAAGTGTGATTGGGTTGGTGTTCTTCGTGTTGTATCTGAGGATGATGCTTTTTCCCTTGTGTATGTTGAGGCCTACTCATGCAGAAACTTCTGCTACACTGGTTGTCTTGACTTGTATTTGTCGGTGTGTATCGGATAGAAAGATTAGATCGTTTGCAAAGTTCGAATCGTCTAGTTGCATCCAAGCTGTCGATTGTATTCCGTGCTTCCCATCAGCTATGATAGTCTTCATAATCCAGTCAACCACCAAAAGAGAAAGGAAAAGAATAAACAACCTTGTCTAACTCCGATCCTCACTTCGAATTCGTCTTTCAGTTGTCCTTTATAAATGAACTATTGAAATGTACTTGGAATAATTACTAATTGTTGATATCTAAATTGAACTAGTTTAATGCTTCATTGATTACTATGAGGCTGATATTGTAGAGATTTATGTAATAATAACAATAGTATATAAACTAAAGCTTTTTCTTGACTTATCTTTCAATAGTAACTAGTTATTGGAGATCGAAGTTCATTGAATAATTTTGAACTGATTATTGGATGTTTCAAAATGTAAAGTTTTATTGAATGAACTATCATTCTTAATTCTGACCAATATTATAATCTAAACATTTTCAAATATCTAGATTTTGTCTATAAAAGATTAATTTCATTTCCTATACACTTTCTTAATATTACAAATTGTAATATGAATCAATGGTTTAATAGTTAAAACACCTGATCAATAAATCACAGATTTCAAGCTCTCTACACCTTATTATTGATCAACCAGTTAGTGTCACTGTTTGTCACATACAAGTATTATGGTTTAAAGCCATGTACTTCGTAAATGTCTTGTATTGTCCAACCCTTCCAGTATATTCACAAACAACATTAACTAGAGTTGCTCAGTATAACTAGATTGACTGAGGTTTCAGGAAACAAAAATCATTGACCAACTAACAGAATCATAATTTTCGTTAATATATAGAATGTTTTATGAATTACTTATCAAGTGATAAGGAATTAGTCAGGGTCAAAAATAAAGGCTGAATAATGGCTAACATGGTTTGACTTTTGCTTATTTTTGTTAAATCAATATATCTTAGTGCTTTAAACTCTTGAATTTTAACCAAAAGCTTGCCCTATGAAGTTCGGTATAAGCAGCCATCACAAATAGATAGTGTTACTCAAATTCATTATTGTATTGTTTGTTTGAATCCTCCTATTGATGTGTAAGACTGTAATTAATCAGTCACTTATTGGCATATGTGTATCCTGTGCTGATTGCCTAGATATTGCCTTTAGCGTCGAGTAAAAAACGCAGTTGTTAGGAAACAGGTACGAGGTAAGGATAGCAAATCCATTGACGAAGTAGTGAAACTTCATCAGTTGAGATGGCTGGGACATGTGTTACGTATGCCCAACGACCGACTACCTCGAAGTGCGATATTCAGTGGTATAGAAGTAGGTTGGAAGAAAGCGCACGTTTCGTCCTATTTGAAACGCATCGGTTTTATATACATGCATCCCAGAGTTGATATTCACTGCTTTTCAAACGCCATCGCTACTAAGTCCAGATAGCCACTAGCTCATGCTTTTTTGGTAAATGAATTTCTTCCTTTACCATCTTCAAGTTAATGTTTATCATCAACACAGTTAACAATTTCATCATGAACTAAATCAACCTACTACTGCTATTTATGTATCCTATTGAGACTACCTTTTTATCTATAATCTTGGGTTATTAATTCCTTCTCTTCCAATTCAGTAAATGGATGTTAACAAATATCTTCAGTAGTAATTTCAAACTTCACTGGATTATACTCTTTAAATAACATCTCCAAACCCTAATCTTCCCGATTACTGCTTATACTCTTATTACCTCTACCACTACGGGATTTGAATCGACAACTGAATCTCTGTGCTAATGTGGTATGGCAACTCGAACTGATGCACGTACGTACGAAGTTCTACGTTGTTACTGACTGACTGAAAAATATCACATTTCTATGTGTTTATTCTAAACTGCTTTTCTTATTTATTTATTTATTTTTCCGTTTATTGTGTTTATTTTTCTCTTCTTCTTCTTCTTCTTCTTCCTTCTTCATTTCAATGGAACATTTGTGAATTACTTATTTTAAAACTGACCTTGACCGAGTATTATGTGTTTTTAAACTAGAATATGGAAACTTTTGTGTATGTTGGTTAATATTATGACTGTTTTTTATTGAGGTTAATAATTTCAAAGTATATTATAGCGTATATGTATATATAATTCATTGTGAAATGCAAACACACTCTTAGTAAATTTGACGTATACATGCTTACTTACACTTACATTTTGGCATTCTTAAGTTAGTTTACATTCTTTGATTATTATTATGATTAGTAGTAGTAGTAGTAAGTAGTATTGGTGTTGTTGTTTTATTTTTGTGTTCTAACACTTATATGTTCCTAATAAAGGAATCAAATAAAGTTTGTTATTATTATTGTTATTGGAACTTTTAACTAAGTCAATCAATAACGGTCGGGTTATCGGACAGCTTTTTAAGTTCTTATTAACTCTTATTGTTGTTTTCGTATTCTGATACTTGATCATTGTATAGTGTACGTATGTATATATATATGTGTATGCTATTCAATGTACATGTTGGCTTTTTTGTAGTCCATTGTTATAGTAAACAACAAGGTTATTAATAGAAATTATGTTAAATATTGAATCAACTTAGTAATAGGTGTGTAATTGAATTATTCGATTTTATTTTGTGTACTGCATAGACGGGATTTTGAATGAGTAATCAATCATTGGATTGTTTTGTGGTTTACATTACGGACTGACCATAGATAAGGCAGTCAATGAATATCATGAAGTATTCGGGGTAATTGTTCTGCTCTTGTATGGAACTCCTCAACGGTACACACTACGATTTCGCTAGCGGTTTAACCCAGGACCTTCAAATGTCGAGACAAATATTCAACCTTTAGATCATTGAGTTCGCATCAAACGATTTACATTTCTAACTTTAACCATCTTTTGATATTGCATAACCATCTTTCAATATTGTAATATCTAAACTCTATTGGTCACGAATTTTCACCTACACCCCTGAAGCAAGTCATTAGCAAACACACTATATTATTTTTGTTATGGTTATCCACAACTGATGTTAATTCGTGACGAATATCACCTACAAATGTATTTCAATCTATTCCCCTATTTATTTACGCTGAATATGTTGACTAGATTTTCCCGTGTTATTTCTTAATTACAGGAAGTCGTATTGGTCGACAACCTAATGCAATTAAATATTATTGTGCTCGAGAAATTTCCCAATTAACTAATTCTAATGATTGTGAAGCAACCACAACTATGAATCCATCTTCAAGTTCATCAAATAAACATGAATCTAACCGACGTAATTCAGTTAGTCATAGTAGTACTAGTAGTGGTACTACAAATCTAAGTTGTAACATCAGCAATAATGGTAATAAAAATAATAATATTACTGCTAATCATGATGATAATAATCATAGCAACAGTAAGAATAATAATCTTAATGAACATGATTTATTGTCAATTGCTGAAGAACATTGTAGATCAGTATTAGGTCAATCAAATTATCCATCATCTAGTTGGCCTTCATTTAAACGTATGATGTCTAATCTTGATCATTTGGATTCAATTAATAACACTACTATCGCCAATACGACCACCGTCTCCATAACAACAACGACAACAACAACAATAATATCAACAACTGGAGTATCTTTAGTTCCATCAAGTATTCCTTTAACATCAACATCTACAGTAAATCATTTCATTGAACACAGTAATCATAATTATAACGAGTTACAAAATAGTGGTGATTCGTTGAAAAATGGATCTTTATTATCTTTATCACCGTCTTCATCTACATCACCATCGTCAGGGATTAAAAGTCATATAAAGTATAAGACAGATACACGTCCACAATATCTTAATTCTCAGTCACGTCCTTTTCATCATTATCCTCCGCCACCGCCGCCTCATCATCCTGCACAATCATCCATTTCTCAGAACAATTGTTTTAATAACAATAATATTGGTATGACTGGTAGCAATAATAATATTGCTAATGGTGTCGTCCTTCTCTCTGGTCGTGCGGATTCAATTTTACCTTCTTCTACTTCCAATGGTGCTAGTTATGGTAGTGATTATCTTTTAATTGATCCTTCAAGAAATATTACTAAACGACGTAAAACAATACCGTCTGAAATAGATGCTAACTTAGACATCTCTGATAATAGTATTACATCTTCAAAATTAACACCCATTAATTCAGTACACATACATGATGATGATGATGACGTTGATGATGAAGGCTGCGATCATGATGATATTGATGATGTTAATGACAATGTTGACGACGTTGAAAATGGCAATTCTACTAGTGGTTCTAATGGTAATGAACGTTTAAATCAACGTTACGGTCATAGACATCAACAACAATATCATCATCCTGTACACCAAGCTGTACATCATCGTCACCAACAACAAAACCGTCGTAACACGAACTTGACAATTTTGAATGAAGAGAATATCCATAATGTTATCGGTTCTGTTAATAATGATTTGGATATCAGTAATAGTTGTAGAAGTAATAATAATAATAATAATAATGGTAGTGTAATTAATAGTAGATATGAGAAACTTGTAGATAGTGGGAAAATTCATAACATATCAGTGGATAATTTCTCATTTATTAATCAATCAAGGCATTTATCGAATCAAATTAACTTGCCAAATGATAATGAACATAATATAAACATTAATAATAATGAGAATTGTTCCACTGTACTTGAACAATTACAATTTAGAAAGTGAGTTTTGTCAATTGCTTTATCTATTTTTGAGTATTCTGGTTTAAAAAAAATGTTTGAAATGTTTTTCTTCTGCAGTATACAAATGGTTTGTTTGTTTATTTGTTTGTTGTTGTTTTTATTTCAACTGATAGTTTAATGTTATACTATTAATAAGTCTACTGAATTCCTGAACTCAACTACTATTATTATTTTTTAATAGATAACCTGAAGATAGTGCTATTATCTCTTAAAGATACTAGGTGTAAATTATGTAACCAGATTACAGTTTCTGTTATCACGATCATGTGATATATATTTTTTGTAATGATGACGACCGATCTTTATTTTGACAAAGTTATGTAATTAATGTGTTTGTTCATTGAATTTGACGCACTTTATTAGTTGAAGGTTGTTTCTCTTGTAATATTTAACACTTAATATTGAATTACATGTGATTATAAAGTAACAGATATTGATTAATACTTGTATTGATGATACCTTACAAAAGTATCGTATGCATCTTATTTCCTTTTGAATTATTGGCAAAATTCATTAAAATTGATATTTCATAGTTCCATATAAGTCGTAAGATGGATTAAACTGAAAAATCGAAGTAAAGACCGGTATCAGGCAAGGTTGCTTACTCTCACCCTTTCTCCTGGTGATGGACTGGATCATGAAACGGGGGACACGGGATATAGTGGACAGATAGGATGCAGCTGGATGATCTAGACTTCGCAGATGATCTGGCTCTTCTATCGCAAACGCAACAACAAATGCAGGAGAAGAAGACCAGTGTAGTACCAGCCTCAACAGCAGTAGGTCTCAATACACACAAAGGGAAAAGCAAGATTCTCCGATACAACACAGCATGCACCAATCCAATCACAATTCACGGAGAAGATTTGGAAGATGTAAAAAGCTTTACATATTTGGGCAGCATCATTGATGAACACAGTGGATTTGATGCAGATGTGAAGGTGCGGATCGGAAAAGCAAGAACAGCATATTTACAACTGAAGAACATCTAGAACTCAAAACAACTATCTGTCAACCAACACCAAGGTCAGGATTTTCAATACAAATGTCAAGACAGTTCTACTGTATGGGGTGGAAACCTGGAGAACTACGAAAATCACCATTCAGAAGATACAAGTGTTTATTAACAGCTGTCTACACAAAATACTTCGGACCCTTTGGCCAGACACTATTAGCAACAACCTGCTGTGTGAGAGAACAAAACAGATTCGAGTGGAGGAAGAAATCAGGAAGAAGCGCTGGAAGTGGATAGGACACACATTGAGGAAAGCACCCAACTGCGTCACAAGACAAGCCCTCATTTGGAATCCTCAAGGCCAAAGGAAGAGAGGAAGACCAAAGAACACATTGCGCCGGCAAATGGAGATAGACATGAGAAAAATGAATAAGAATTTGATGGAACTAGAAAAGAAGGTCCAGGACAGAGTGGGATGGAGAATGCTGGTTGGTGGCCTATGTTCGACTGAGAGTAACAGGCGTAAGTAATTAAGTAAGCATAAGTCGTAAGGTTTGGATGATTTATAAAGACATGACCTTCTAATTGGAATTTTCACAGGTCACTATTTCATGGGAAAAGAAAAAAGATTATTCCTTAAACCAAATGACTTTTACTACTTCACCTGCTTCAGTTTGAACAACCCCGGGTAGGTGAGCATACAAATTGTCAACTTCACTGTCTTTTTTCTATCATGTAGACCACTGTATATGAAAAAGTTATCAACCTGATCAATAAAATGCTATCCAATTATAATATCGGGTATTATTTATACATCTGTGTCAATGTAAAAATCACAATCCTACATAAGTTAGTCAGTCCGCCAGTCGTGGGAACGAATAGCTCAGTAGTAAATTTTCTAAATGTAACACTGAATGACATGGATTTAAATTTTATACAAAATATTACACCTTTCAGGATTACAGCTTAACTCACTGATCAATGTCCACTAAGACGAAATATAGATGAATATTTTCAATCACTAAATATCTATATGACAATATCTCGACGATGAATTAACGTCATATCTGTGGACTAATAGGAAATAATCAACTGGTGTAATCTTCATTGATAATTCGGATTATTAAGAGAGTATAGCTTGATTTTCGTTTAATAAGTAAATTCTGTTTTGATCAATTAATTATTCAATTAAATGCGACGTAGAACTTGGCACATGCGTACATCGGTTCAGGTTAGCATACATAGGGATTAAATTGTTCCTTGAAGAAGAGGAATGCATATTAAGTTTTTTTCGCAAACACTATGAGATTATTCATCCTTAAATATACGGTATTAAGCACTTTGTAGTATTTTTCCTCATTTATTGGGTGATCGGTACATATACAATCGTAATTATCAGTAGTGATTTCATGTCAAGCATCTAAATTTATCTAAACATCAGTATAGGGGTTGTGGAGATTGTTAAGTTTTTTTTGATTGAGATCATGAACCAATTGATGTTAGACCACCGTTGGAAACCTGGAAGCACTGGACGGCCGTTTCGTCCTAGTATGGGACTCTTCAGCAGTGCGCATCCACGATCCCGCTCCCTGCGAGATTCGAACCCAGGACCTATCGGTCTCGCGCCAGGCGCTTAACCAACTAGACCACTGAGCCGGCATTTAATGGTGTTAGTGTCTAACATGTTGAATATTGAAAAGTTGTCGGATGAAATAATTTACTCTATAGTTTGAACTGAAATTCTCAGTCAAAATTATGCTATCATATACAGCACTCACCCATATCTTGGTATTACATACATATTGAACATCAAAAAACATATGAGCTGCAAATCCTTGAACTTTTATTCTCTCTCTTCCAAAATGTTATATTCTTAGTGTTATAACTTGCGACCTGGTATAAGTAACGATACCGCCAATTAAAGAGGAGTGAATTATCGATCGGATCAATGAGGCTTAAAACCCGTACGAACAGTCTAGAGTACTTATCGGTTCTGCTTCCTGTTTAGCCTAACCAGTGAAGTCCAGAACACCAATCTCAGTCTCTGCAATGTGTATCGTTTATTTCAAACATACTAGGTTTATATACCAACCAAAACAGACCCCATCGTACCAATGAAATAGGAAACAACATTTGTACAAGAATTAGCCAAATGTAGCTGTGAATGAGGGAAATAGTAATTGATAGACAAAGAATAACTCAAGAACGGTAAATTGTATAATCATAGTTCTCAGGTCAAAATAAAGCTTATGATAAGAGGGACATGAATATAAATAGTTTGGTTATTTAACAATTATACGATAAAAATATACGCATAGTATTGGTCCATAAATGGATCCCAAAAGTTACCATTCATTATGCTTATCAGGGCATAACACTTAATTATTATATAAACTTAATAACAGTTAATTCAACAGGATGTTCTAGTCCTTTTATTAACTATAACTAGTTTTCAACTATTATTTCAAATTTATGGAATAAATACTCTTTTAAAACAATTTGATTATATCTGTAAATTGGTATGCATTCTGTAATTATTTCCAGTATATCATTTAATTAATTAATTAATTGGGGTGGTGTATTTATTAACTATTATATTAGTCATAATATCATTTTTGTGAATATGATAAAGTGGTAGGTATCTATCTGTCTAAGAATGTGGTTTCTATGTAAATATCTATATCTATCTATATATATTTATATATATAGAGAGAGGGGGGAATGTGCATTTTCGTATATGACAGAATAGTATACCATAACATAGAAAGTATGTGTAAAGTATGTATAGAAAGATCTGTCTAGAATTAACTTTTAAAAGATTTCATTTTACTGTAAAAAGTATCCTTTTTTTTAATTGCAATATCAAAAAAAAAAATTTTTTTTTGGTTTTTACGTCAGACTACTAAGACAACTCAAAAAGTAAAACGTGACATAAATGTCACATTTCATGTAATGAAATGTATTAATTTCATGTTACATAATTATGTAATTGTAAGAAAATATAATCACATTCTTTTTTTATTGTCGTTTCGCTAATATTATTACTTTATCATGTGATATATGTGTGGTGTATAGATTATAAAATGTTCATTGTAAATGATTGTTTGTTTAAGTAAAGATGAATAGTGGCTAGCAGTGGAATCCAGGTCGAGTGTTTCGTCCTATTTGGGACTCGTCAGGTGGATGTACCTGCAAAGCGCGTTCTGGATTCTCACTGCTAGGCACTATCCATCTTTGCTTAAAAAGTTTGTGACTTAAAGGTATATCGAGGCAATCCGTACAGGATGCACATATGCCAATAAAAGACTGATCAATTGCAATCCTAAATAACAATGGAAGGATACAAGTAAAGTAACACCAAGTGGGTTGTTTATTTCTTTGATTGTTTTTTATGTTACAATTTTACATTGTAACTATGACTGCTTGATTGATATGTGTTGAACTTTTTCAGTGATTAACTCGATAAGAATATTTAAAATATCCCATTTTTATGTAATGTGATAACATTAGTCTATTATAACAATTTTAAGTTTTCTTTCTCATGTTAGCAAACACTTCGGATGTTCTCATTTCAGACTTTATTCTTGAATATTATTTATTTATTTGAACAAATACATATTGGTACAAAGGGGGCACCGAATGCATATGCACCACATAAATCATTCGATTAATGTGAGGGATGGGATGCTGCCTGGGTGTCTAGACCGAAGCAAGTGGTTTTCTTAGGAGAGCACACCCAGAGCCTTCAACCTAAAGGTTTGATCCACAAGGCAGTGAAGGAACGTCAGGAGATTCAACCCCATGTTAGCCGGTGACCAACTGTAGATTAATACGCTATTTGTTTCTTTAGGATCCTGGTGCCTATATGCATCGTTGGTTTGGATTCAGGGTTTTCCTACTCTCCTAGGTGGATCCTCTGTATCCACCAATCCGGTGAAAGCGCTGGTCATTCGCTTTTCGTCCTCTCATCTTCGTAAACATCAGTAACATAGCGAGAAGGCAGTTGGTCGGACTTCCGTGGCAGTGGTTGTATGCACGTGGCCATGTGACAACATTTGGAGAGGGAGAGCTGCCTCTCACCACTCTCGGCCGTACAAGGGCATTTATTATGGACAGATTAAATTTCGTGTTTGAATTTCAAGGATGCTTTTAATTATCGCTATAATTTTTATAATCCATTAAAAGAAATATATGTTTTTGTACATATTTTTTGCCAGTTATCCATTAATGGATAGATCATCAGTTATTGTTGAAACTCAGTCAAAAGATTCTCATGCGGTAACTACTCATTTAAATCAATCCTATTTACGACCTACACAATTAAATTTAACAACTGGAAGACATTTACCTGATGAATCCTATTCATTGTCTTATCTTTCATCTTCATTATCATCATCACCAACATTATCATCGACATTAACTACTACATCATGTCCACGTTCATCTGTGATATCAGACTATTCTGACTTCAATAATCAATTATCTGCTGATGTTAGTGATAATAATAACAATAACAATGATAATAATCAAGTATGGTTACCAAAACAACGATATATTAAATCTAGTCGGAGTTTACCAAATGAACAAACTAATAATCAACTAATAAGTTCGAATAATAATAATAATCAGAATGCCAATAATTGTTTAGATTCAAATTCATTAGGATTTCTCAATGGTGGACGTAATGTTGTTGATATAACTGGATTAACTGAGACTGAACCAACATCAACAACTACTACACCGTGGTTTGCAGCAGCAGCGGCAGCTGTAGCTGTTGTTATGGCTGCATCTCAATCATCATCATCATCAACTAATTCCGCTTTATTAGATCCATATACAGTATCATCAAATTTAAATGAATGTTTTGGAATCAATGATCGTAATAATAATAATAATAATTCAGGTATAAATCAAGTAAATAATCGACGTGTTCCAGTGAATACAACTAATTTTTCAAAGGTAAGAATAAGATAATTGATGAATGGACTGTTTTCTCTGATTATGAATCAAAATCTGTGTTAATAATGTCAAATTAATAAATCTGAGACTTAGTGTGTTGTGTTTGTTTGTTCTAGTGGATCATGATTTTTAGGTTGTTTATCGAGGCAAGTTTTTCATTGTATTCTAGAGTATTCAGTAGAATGGTTAAACAAAGGATAGCATAAGTCATCTGTGAAATCGAGTCTGCAATATGTAGTAGACATAAAATATTCAACGCAACTGGGCACCAGAAGCAGTTTGTAACAGAACACTTTTGTATTGGTTGTTTCTAAATGACCTATGTTAGATAACGAAAATCTATATATTAGGTTTTGGATAAAATGATTATTATTTACATTTGTTTATGAAGACTTAAATGTCCTGCTATAACAATTAAAATAATAGTCGCCTACATCTTATAGGTAGCAGGTACTTCGATCTGTGTAATTATATGATTACACTAGTTCCTCACATCTGATATGTGTCACAAAGTGGAACATTAGAAGACTGATACATTTTTTTCTTGAGAACGCTCCGAACACTAACTATCTATTCTTTTAAAGTAGTCGGTTCTTGAAACTTGAACAAAAAATGAATGGCAGAACGTATAGAAAAAGCTGTACTGTGAAGGTTAAACTATGAAAAATAGAAAAAGTATTGATAAGATTTTTTTAGCGGATTTTATTATTATAAGCAATAATAAATGGTGGCTAGCAGTAGAATCCGGGACGCACGTTTTTCCCTTTTTGGGACACATTAGCTGGATATACCTGCATCCCAGAGTTGATTTTTACCCCGGATACGAACCCAGTATCCTTTACTTCCAACTCGATCGCGTTATCCACTTAGCTACTGAGCCCACATAGCCACTAGCTTGTGCAATGGGGTGAAGTTTTTATTCATTTTCCTATTGTTCGTTTGAATCTTGTCACTGATATTCAATACTGCAACTGATAAATGCAATACGAAAATGAATTAGAATTTTACTATTGTCGAATTACAATCAAATAAGCATTATGAATTTACTAGTATTTTTTGGAAGTTTGCAAAAATAGTCTAATTATTCAAATAATTCTCTACATTAGCCCCCAAATGCCTTGAAACGGCCGAAGGTGGGGAAAGTCAGCCCTGTCAAAACGCTCTTACATGGCCACGCGTATACAGCCACAAGGAAGTACTACTCACTACCTTCTCGTGGCATTACTGTTGTTTACAAAATTGAGAGGATGAAAACGAATGTCCGGCGCTTTAAATGGGTTGGTGGACACGGAGCGTCCACCTAGAGGAGTTAGAAAATCCTTATTCCAAACCAATGGTGCACATGGACTCCAGTATACTGAAGGAACAAATGGCGTATGAACCAATAATTGGTCACCGGCTACTGTGGGATTGCATCTCCTTACGTTGCTCCACTGCCTTATGGATCAGACCTTCAGGTCGAAGGCTCCCAGTGTGTCCCCCCTAAGAAAACCACCTTCGTTTTGGGCTCCCGTGCAGCATCGTAGCCCCCACACAAATCAAGTGACTTGTGCGGTGCATATGTATTCGGTGTCTCTTTGTACCAATATTTATGTGCTCAAATAAATTAATAAAAGTTTTTCTCTCTGAAAAATTCCCATTATATTAAAACTCAATTGTATGAACGAAGAATATTCTTTTCAATAATTTCTCATCAGGTTCTGCAATTATCATATTCAAATTTATAATCCATAAAATAGGCCAGATTTCTCTCTCATCCCATGTTGACCATATTTTTTTCGATCATTTATCGCACAATTTCATTTCACTTATAAACTGATTCAAGTTAACACTTTAGATTAGTCAGCTTCAACATTAACCATTTGATTTGATTTTATATGACAAACAACAATTCTTGATTCACTTATTACACTTTCCAAAGGATGTACTCTGTTTTAAATCTGGCCAATCTTACAGATTATTAATTTGGATATGATAATTGCAGAACCTGATGAGAAATGATTGAAAAGACTACACTTCGTTCATACAAACGTTTTTCTTTCACTGAATTCTGAAAGAAATTATCGATAAACTCCTTAGTCAAGTGAATACATAGTTCATAAAATATAAATGAATTGAATTTAAAGTCTAATTTATTCTTTGAGCAGTCAACATATCAAATTATCGGTATGGGGTTGTGGAAGTTGTTGAATTTCTGATTGAATGCCCTTCTCTGTAGAGTCCCATGTTAGGACGAAACGGTCATCCAGTTCTTCCAGATTTTCTATTGTAGTTTAATATTAATCGATTCCTGATCTCATGTCAAATTACAATTGATTACAAATTTGATAGACACAGGGTATTAGGGAATGATGGTAAACCAGTTGATGAGGTTATGAATCTTCATCGACTGAGATGGTTGGGCCATGTTTTACGTATGCCTGAACACCAATTACCACGATGTGCAATGCTAACCGGTGTTGGAGATGTTTGAAAGAATGTTAGGGGCGGGCAAACCAAAACGTGTCATCATTTGTTGAAGTCAATAACTTCTAGTCTGAACCATGTTGGTAGATGCAGACTACTTGGTTGGGGTCCGCGTGACTATCGTAACCAATGGTTGGAGACTCTTCGTGACATGGCTCAGAATCGATCACAATGGCGTCGGTGTATACACTCTCTGTCTTCTCTTAAACTAAGAGATTAAAATCGCTTCATATCTTTCTTTCTACGAACTCATTCTTTCTTCCTGTACTATATCCTTATATGCGATCTTTCTTTTATATATTACCACCTCTGAATTAACTACTTTTATGAATCCGGTATTCATCTTGTTGTGTTAATGAGGTATGGCAACTTGGATGGATGCATATATGTGCCTGGTCGTACGTTGTAACTGACTGACTGACAAATCTGATATGCATTACATTGTACATTTCATATTATATAAGTACTCTATGTTCCAAAATTTATTCTAAACAAAAAATACAATAAAGTTATACCAAGGGTATATTTTGAAGAGATCTGCTTGAATTTATCCTTCAATTATTTTAAGAAAAGAAAAACAGACAAATGTTATTATTAATAATTAGCTGATAGTAGAAAAAATGTATTTTTCACTCAACATGTTTTATTTTTAATCATATTGTAGTGTATGCTACTTATGCTGACAAGTATAAGTAGTATGTAGCACCAATCAAAAGTGAAATATCTACCAAACAAATAGTTGAATTGAAGAGAACAATTAGAATAACAACAGAATGGAAAGAATCATAAAGGATGTAAAGGAAAATTTAAGGAATATGTGCAACTAATGTATATTTATTTTATGGTTTTCATATTTTACGATGGAAATCTATAATTTTGCATTGAGTAAAAAGTTGATAATTTCACTAATTTATGGTATATTCACTGTGAAATATAACAGTTTTATATGCTTTTTCATGTTTATCCATTATCCACTTTCAATGAAGATAATGTGTAAATTAATCGGTTAGGCAGAACATGTAAATAAATGATGTGTGATTAGTCAGTCAGTCAGTAACAACGTAGAACTTTGTACGTACGTATATCAGTTCGAGTTGCCATACCACATTAGCACAGAGATTCAGTTGTCGATTCAAATCCCGTAGTGGTAGAGGTAGTAAGAGTATAAGCAGTAATCGGAAAGATTAGGGTTTGGAGATATGATCAATACCTATGAAATAACTGTGTTACATTGGTTAAGGTTAGAGTAAATTGATCAATTTATTATATACATAGTGTTCATTCTACCTCAGTTTTATATTGTTGAACACTAAATGTTGTAGACTGTGATGATTTGATTTTTATGATTTATTTATTTGTGTATATTTATACTACTTATAATGTTTTGTTTTAAAAAACTAATTTTCAAATAATATATCAATTATTCTTTTATGTTATATTTCTTATTCACATGGAAAGCAACGTTTCAAATTAGGTCTACATGAAACTGTTTTAGATCATCAACAGTCTGGTAGATCATTTTTGTCAAATTCTTATAATATTAATCCATATGATACTAATACTAATACTACTAGTGGTCATATGAATGAAAATATATTGAAAATTGGTAAATATGAATCAAATGATACATTACGTTCCTTACATCCATCATTATCATCATCATCAACATCATCAGTAGCATCATCATTATCTGATGTTACACATCCGTCGACAATAGCTGCTATGCAAGCAGCGGCTGTTGCAGCAGCAGCAGCTGCTACCGCTGCTGGTCTAGTTCTATCCAATAGTCGTGTACGTGGATTATCTGATGAGATTTATCCAAATTTAAATCGTGTCAGCATTTCTAATTCATTGCCTGAATTACCAAATAATTGTTATACATCAACTACACCATCATCATTATCCTCATCATCATCATCACCACCAATAATGGGTAATTTTGGTAGAATTATTGAAAATCTTTCAATGTATTCAACATCATTAGATCGTAATGCTCAACCGATTAATAATCTGGATTATCCATCATCATCAACATTATCCTCATCATCATCATTATTATTGTCATCAACAGTGAATAATTTCCCTGTTAATCATTCCATTGTAAATACTACATTACCATCGATTACTGTACCAGTTATAACTAATAAAGAAATTAGTCCACGTTTAAAGAATGGTATTAGACCGGTGAGTTTATTAATTCTACTGATATCTACATTCACTTTTTTTAAATATTTAAGTAGTATCTATTTTGTTATACACTTTATGAATAATAATAGTTTGTTAAAAGTAGTAATGTTTTATATTTGTAATTGTCATTTGACAAAGGGGACTTCAACCAGAGGTTAACTCCATTCTCGATTTATTTAATCATAGAACAAAGATTCTATTAGGATAGCATAGATTCATTTTATTTCGTCTGGTTCTCATCAGTTGCTTACAATCTTTGATATTTAAAAATCATCATTACCTAATGAATTTCAAATTACTTACATAAGAGGGTTTGGTTGAAAGTTATATTGAAGAAATATTCGTATAATATAGCAAGGGGGTAAATAAATTGAATAGATTGAATATTGTAAATATGTATCTTATGTAAAAGGAAATTGTGACTTGAGTTCAAAGGTTCAGAAACAAGTGATAGGAATAAAATGAGTAAAGATCCGTTAATAAAACAAGATTAATAATCTGGAAGACGGACGAAATAAAAAGACATAATAGTGTAATGAATACAAGAAAGAGTTGAAAAAAAACGAAAAAGGAAACGTTTTAAGATACAATGAAGGAATATTTATCACCAAGGCAAGGAAAGATTAATAACCATCTCCTTTTGAACGCATAAATCAGGATTCTGACGCCTGATAGCAACGACTTCAACAAACTTCAGAAGACTAGATTTTGTCTGTTTATTATTCACCTTAAAATATTACAAGGTATCGACCTGATGTTGGATACTCGATACTCTTAGAAATCTTTCAGGAAATAGTATCGAACTAACTTGTCGATGTAGGCATATAGGATAATATTACTATAGTAATAAAAATTGCAAGTTGTTAATAGAATTGAATACATACTGCTCTTATGAATCTGAAAGTAGACACTCCATTATGCATCTGGAAATGTGTTTTTCATTGGTCAGAAATGGGATCAAATGGATGGGGAAGCTACATTGGCTCCATTTCAAATCTTTGCTAACTTTATTCCTGTAGACTACATGATATTTCAGAATATTTAATGGAAATCTGTCAGTACACATTCTATATATCTTACTACATTGGTAAAAATAGCCTTGTGTATTTCAAGAGTCGAGGTCATTTTAGTCGATATATTAATGCAACATATTATCATTAGACCGTTTAAAATGTTAAAAACGTGAAGTTCAGAGAAGGGGATCTATTTTCGACGAATTTTTTAACAAGCTGTACAGTACATATATATATATATATATATGATAATTTTTTTGCTAAGTACTGGTCCCGTGCGAACATATGAACAGGGAGTAAACGTGATAATCAAATGGAAAGATTATATTACCAGATTACGTAATATGAACAATAACAATAAAAGATTGTATATATGCAAATAGATTATAATGTGAATAAAATAAGCTGATTAAAATGTTTTTGTTACAATAATTAAAGGTAACGTATGTGCAAAACTAAATGATGTAATTCCAGAAACAATTATGAAAGTAATGATGAAGACATGAGACATAAGTAAGGGGAGAGGGGGGATATTTTCCAATACGAAATGCAATGATAATAATAATAAAGTACAAGGTAACGATAACGAAAAGATGTACATATAGTTCTGGCTTGAGTTCATGAATGTTTAAGAACTTATGCTGTTTTAAAAGTGTTGGGTATGAAGATACCTAGGTAGATTCGGATGAATTATATAAATAATCTTGAAATCAACCTGTGGAAAGGTAAAATAAATACAGTCGATTAGATGTTCAAGAATGGGATTTCTAACTTGTTTTTTATATCCTTGTAGAACCGCACTAGGATAGCAGAATCTCATCATGTTTATTCCTTGTTCATATGTGTTGACGGAACCAGTACTCTATATATATATGTAATTCGTTGAAACGAGATCCCTTCTCTAAATTTCGTGTTTTTAATTTAAATACAGTTAAATGCCTTGAAGACGATTTAATGATCATTTCATAGTTGTGTATCATATGGATTTGTAAGATTATGATCAAAATAAGTAATATATCAGTTAAAATGTTCTAAATTTGTATTTGGCACTTTCCTCAATACAGTATACAATTCAGACAAACTCTTGAAGAATTTTATTATCTTATCTATAGCATAATTGAGCTTAGCAATATTAATCAGATTCGATACTTTGATTAGATATTACTTATGACTTATTAATCATTCATTCCACTGATTACATTTTGTTATGACCCAACTTTAGCTGTACGTATTGATATGTTATCATAATTTGTGAATGCGACGTGAAATCTATTCTTCAACTGAAATTAAACTATTCTCCTTACTCCCTAGATGACTTTTGAGCTCTCGCCTCTCCTAATGACTAAGAAGATAATCGAGAGCCGAATGGCTTATTCTTACTCCGGGGAAAAAATATGTCTGCTTATAAAACTTTTTACGTGACCTTGGGAACTAGTCGTTTAGAGTGTGAATTTCATAGTGCCTGATTCAATGGTACAACCATAGTTTAAAAATCAAAGGTTGCATTCACCAAAATTACCATTATTTGTTTAATTTAGACCAACGTTTTGAGAAATAATTCGTTTTACAACACTTTCGATTGAGTGCATAAAATTTCATCGCTTCCAGTAGAGTACATTTAAAAGTATACATCATTTTCAATATCACCACAGTGTAACGCGTTGACGTTGTATAACATTGCCTCTGTGATCTGGGTTCGAATTTCACTAGAGGTGAAGGATTAGTACAAACCAGTATGGAATCTAGGTTGAGATTTTCTTATCGATTACTTTCAACCAAATTGCATCGAAAAAATTTATTCTCTATCCCAACAATAATAATAATGAACATAGTAGTACTAATGAGAGAACATATGATTTATCATTTTCTTTCAATGATATCTTATTATTTTTATCATTCTAGACTTCTATAACAGTACAACAATTTGCTGAACGCATTCATGTTGCTGCCAAATATATGATGACTGAAAGAAAGGTCAGTATTATTTCCTATATCCTTTTTTTTTCTGTATTCTTTTCATTTCACTACTTATCAATTGTATTTTGTTTATGGATTTATAATTTTTATTATAAATTTTAATGGCACATTTTTCAGTTAAAGTATAGTACACAGATGAGCCAATCAGAATCGAGACGAAAATTTGTATTTACCCGACAAATTAACACTACCACGGAATTCTTCCCCACTCCACCCTAAACATTTTATCTTGAAATAAATCTTAACCCAGTGACAGTATAGTTTATGGCGGGATTGATTAGACTTATTCAAAATCGGTTTATTCGAACAGCCTACAAAGGATTTCTACATTATATATAGTATCAGTTTATAATAAAACCTTATGTCTAAGCTTTTAATCATAGCCTTAAATACCTAATTCTAACCAAGAATAATCTGAGGATGATATCTTTAGATTTACAGGCAGAGTAACCTGTAGAAAAGTTTAATCGATTCAAAATTATATATCCCTGTACAAATGCTACTTTGTAAATTGGCTAAGAATTAGCTGAAAATCCATCGTGGTTGCTTATAATTCGTCCCTTCATTATACTCTACTAATATTGCATACTATACATTGTTTAAGAAGTATAGATTTGCAATACACTCTACTGTAAACCAAACTGTTTATGCATAAGCTATGGTTCTACTAATAAAGCACGCTGAATTGCCAACATTCAGATTGAGTAAAATTCAGAAAAATGTGATCTTCCCGTTAAATGATCAGTATTTCAATCATAAAGTCACCGCTCCCCAATGATATGTAATGGAATTAATAGTAGGTAGTAATTAGGTTTTGAGTTGTTGAAACAAACAAAGCAAGGAGTACAGATGTGTTTTGAATTTAAGGAATATTACAATTGAAAATCAATTGTTTTAACTACCGGACAAAATTTAAACATTCAGTTTTTTCGGTACATACTACATTTGTATTACAATCAGATTGATGTGATTGAGTAATGGGCATTGTTGGCGTTTATATTTATGGACGACCTTTGAGTGACGTTAAAGCTACCTTGGGAATGTTCACCTACTTACTATAACTGAATGAAGGTTATATACCAGTGTAAAGAATTACGATTATGATTTTTAGCTGATGGTTAGTGCTAGGAATTAGATTTAGAGTTTTCATGACCAATTGGCATTAGCCAAAATGCCGAAAACCTCTCTAGCCAAATGGGTGAATGAATTTCGCGCCAAAATCCAAGACCTGTTATCTTGTTTCTGATTGGCTCATTCATAAATTACAGTCTCGACCTTTACTGATTTCATTAATTTTCATTTTAATTTAGTTACTGTTTCTAAACCAGTCTCATCTACCTACCTAATTATAGTTTCTCATTTCATATAGTTTATAGGTCAGTATATAGACGAGAGTTTTAAAATGCTTATGAACTAATCTAACTACAGTACTATTAAAGATGTGTGAGCAGTTGTCACTTCCCGGTTGCCTACACCGTTGAAGGATGCTTCTTCTTGAAATACTTGTAAAGAAAACTAGATTAGAAATAGTCTTGGCAACCTTGAAAGCACAACCATAGAGCCCAAAAGACATCTGCTTTAGGGTGGTCACACATGACATTTTTACAAATATGCCTTACCATTAAAGATTATCAGGCTGTTCAAGTTTTTTCCCTCTTTCTGGAAACTACTAGAATCCCTTGATGGGATTCTTATTGTTTTTAGTTTTAATCTAATTTTGATTATACTTTGTAGGTAGATATGATTTTAAACTTGTTGTAGGTCAGTTGTCCAATAGTTGAAAAGTTTGAATTTTAGCCTATTAGTCACAGGTTTGAATCACGCTCTACTTATTTCAGTTTAAACAACTTGATATTACTACTGGCTTTCACATGTATGGTATAACGAGTAGGCAAGTTGTTGTTGTTGATATTTTCATTAAAACATTCTTAATGTAATTTTACAACTGAGTACAAAAAAGATCACATGATTAGCTTATGTTACAAACTTTATTTAATCTTTTAATATTGTTTTAGTCCATTAAGAAACATTTGCCCCACATAAATCATTCGATTTGTATGAGGGCTGGGATACTGGCCGGGTGCCCAAAACGAAACAGGTGGTTTTCTTAGGAGACCACACCCGGAGCCTTTGATAGGAAGGTCTAATCCACAAGGCAGTGGAGCAACGTAAGGAGATGCAATCCCATGGTTGGTAGCCAGTGACTAATATTTGGTTCATACGCCATTTGTCCCTTCAGGATACTGGAATCCATGTGCATCATTGGTTTGGAATGAGGGTTTTCCAACTCCTCTATGTGGACTCTCCATGTCCACCAACCCGGTTAAAGCACTGAACATTCGCTTTTCGTCCTCTAAATTTCGTAAACAACAGTAATGCCACGAGAAGTTAGTGAGTAGGACTTCCGTGGCAGTGGTTGTATGCACGTGGCCATGTGAGAGCATTTCAATAAACTCAACAGGACACTGAATTTAAAACTTTTCATCTTTCTAGAATTGTGATATACCATTCATCTACTGAACCTAGGGTTCAGTAGTACACATTGTTTTTTTAGTTTTAGTCTTTATGTATAGGTATCGCAATTACTATCAATGTTATTGATTGGCAATCAATAGAAAGAAAAAAACAAAGATTCAAGCATAAAAACATAAAATTATTTTGTTTTATGAGATTCTCGTTATCTGCTTCTGATCCGTATTGTTACATAATCAAAATTACAAAATGATTTCTAAAGAACTGTGATTGGATGCGATTGTGAATACATACCAGTATACTATAGGGAAGATGTGAATAAATTCAAGTGACTAAATACTATTCTTCCCTGAAGAATTGAGATAATTCAACGAAGAATGTTTTCTTTTCGACAATATCTTTTACTTAAGCTGTACAATCGTATTTATAGTTAATTTACAAACAAAATAGTCCACTGAAAAATAGACCATATTATGTAACAGAGGAAGTTGCTTAATATACGAGAATTTACGTGAGATAATAAAATGAAATCAAATACCTAAAGGATAAATGTCCACTTGACGATTTGGAAAAGCAGTTGTACAACTCCTTGTGTTTGTTGAGCATTTTGTTTTTCATGGACAGAGTATAGGAGCCCCCCCTGAAGCTAGTCGTTGTTCTCCAACCTGCGTCCGATGTGTTTCACTTATTCCAAGCACCTCCATGTTGTATCTTCATTTCTGCAGCAATTTGGATGACTCTTCCGGTCTCCCACATTGTATGAGCATTCTATGTACCTAAATTAATCGTTGCTCTGGTTGTCAGAATGGACATCAGCCTCTTGACTTCCGAAGGGACTCGACTTTCACCATGAGGCGTCATAGTTCTTCTAAATGAAGATCTTCTAACTCCCAGGGCAAAGTTTAAGTGGTTTGAATCATTTTTTCTCGTTAACGTTTTTTTTAGCGAGTCAGTTTTCTACGGGATGGAGTCGTTAACCCAATGTCCAACCCTCCTCCTTTATCCGGACTAGGGACCAGCTGTAGCTCCAAGGGGTTCCGGGTGGAGTTAAGTGAACATAATAATGATAAATAATTAAAATTGAAAAACAATAAAAAAAACATTAGAAGGATTTAGTAAAATCGAATCACTATTTATGTAAATTAAGTATTACAACCATGAAAGAATGATGGTTTGAACATATCGCTTTTACATATATATTTTAATCTTTTTCAAAGAAGTGTTACTAACGCTTCTACAATGAATAAGTTATTCATTTGCACTTTTTTTCTAACTAAATCATCTGATTGTATAGATAACTTTTAAAAGGCTTTTCAGATAGGATCATATGACCAAAGTTCAATATTGAATTGTAATTAATATTTACATTTACCTTTTTTAAAAATCACACGGGATAATGTTCGGAAATACATTCGAAAGAAAAAAAAATTCTAATTTTAAAGAAATGGTGACTACGTTATCAACAACGTTTAATAATGAGTAAGAATAAAATCATTTGATTCAAGTTAGTTATAAAAAAGAAAATTTAATGAATTAAAACAATTTCACAGATTGAAATCATGAGTCAATTGAAGCTAGACCATCATGGAAAACCTGAGAGCACTGAACGGCCGTTTCATCCTAGTATGGGACTCCTCAGCAGTGCGCTTCCACGATCCCGCCCTCCTCGGTGAGATTCGAACCTAGGACCTACCAATCTCGCTCCAAGCGCTTAACCAATTAGACCGCTGAGTCACCATCCAACGGTGTTAATGTCTAACTTCAACTAATCCACGAAATTGAGCGACACATCGACCATTTTCATCAGTGAGTTACTATTTCACGACTGGATGCGCAATGCTGAGGAGTCCCAAAATAGGACGAAACCGCCGTACAGTGCTTTAAGGTTTTCCATGGTGGTCTAGCTTCAATTGACTCATGATCTCGACTGTTGAAATTGTTCTAGTGCGAAACCGTTACCAGTGGAGTTCAACCAGGTCTGTTGTAAGATATCAACTCACTGAAGACAATGGTGTACGGTGGTGCAACTTCGTGGATTGGTTGAAGTTAGACATTAACACCATTGGATGCCGGCTCAGTGATCTAGTGGTTAAGTGCTCGCTCGCCAAACCAGTAGGTCCTGGGTTCGAATTCCGCGTGCGTGCGGGATCGTGGATGCGCACTGCTGAGTCCCTTACTAAGACGAAACGGCCGTCCAGTGCTTAATCATCAACTGTAAATTATAATTATAATTCTTTACATAAGTTTATAACCCTCATTTGATCCTGGTTATTAGGTCAACACTCTCAAGGTCAGTCTAGCCTCGCTCAAAGGTTGTCCATAAATTATAGTCTCACTATTTTAACTGTTATTCATTACATAACCACTAATTTCTTACTCTTTAGTCTTTTGCTATTATCAATGATATAATATATTCTTCTATGTAAGATATGTATTATTATTATAAGCTTTATTCAATATTATATTTTTGGTACAACATAGAATTCTCAGCACAAAGTATTTAAACAAGTTTCCGTTTCTTACTTCTTGGTCGATCCTGACGATAAATATTGAGTGATTGCCAGTTAGATGTTAGCAGTCCAGTAAATGTATATTCTTTTTGCTGCATATTGCCAGCGACCACATTATCTCTTATTGGGCTTTTTGTAACTTTGACAACGAAAAGTTGTACACTTTTCAGAAATGCTCCAGGATAGGTTATGCGATCAATAGACATTATGATATATCAAAACAAACAAAAATAGATAACTTGTTGAAATATCTAGATGACAGGAACAGGTAGCCCAGATACTCAAGCAGGCCGCCTAAGATATGTATTTATATGTGGTCTTTTAAATTTATTCTCATCTCTCTCTCTATTATTCTAACACCTGTTCACAACACATTTCAGTCGAAATCATTGATTTGAGTTTTTTTCTTCTAAAAACTTACTCTAGAATTCTCATCTTGGTTGTAAACAGGTAACTAGAATTTAACAATATAAAATAAATCCCTGTTTTTCTTCTCAACTCTTTGTGTTTTTTTTGTTTCTTCTTATTCACTTGGTTTAAACATTTCAAGTGATTTATCTTCAATCATTTCAGTAATTATAGTAATTTATATTAATATGACACCAGTCACTACTACTATTGTAGTGTATGCTACTTATGTCTGTAAAACCGACCAGAAGTGGAATGTCTGACAGTAGAAGGTTATAAAAATTGAATTGAAACGAAGTGGAATGTAAATAGAGAATAATTGTTATAACAATGAAGGAAAGATAAAGTCTGAAACAATTGATGGAGGATATGCAAATAAAGTATTTAATGTATAGTTTCTACCATTTACGAAAGAACTCTGTAATCTCGTATTAAACCATGGATTAGTTGTCCCCCACCCATATTCTTGTTCCCTTCATTACTACTACTATTTCTATTATTATTATTATTATTATCCACTTGGTATTGTTTATTTAAATCTTCCCATTGATGGTTAACACTGCAATTGATAGAATGAAACGCGCGTCCTGGATTCCACCGCTAGCCATTATCCATCTTTGATTATTATTACTATTTAGTAATCAGTTATTACACTTGTAATTTGTTTTCCAAATATAAATTTCACCAAAAATGAAATCTCGTGCCAGGCACTTAACCAACTAGACCATTGAGCCGGCATCCAACGGTGTTAATGCCTAGCTTCAACCAATCCACGAAGTTGCACCACCGTATACCATTGTCTTCAGTGAGTTGATATCTCACAACAGACCTGGTTGAACTCCACCGGTAGTGATTTTTAAACTAGTTTACAGAAATTATTGGCAAGTTCGTTGAAAAATATTGTTTTTGTCTTGTTTTGTTCAGTGGATCCTTTCTAGTTGTGTTAATTTCTTTGAAGAAATGTTGTGTGTTTAGTCTTTCTGTGTTTTGTTTTTCATTTTTATTACTAGATTATTATTATCATTATTATTATTAGGCTTTATTCAATATTATAATTTGGTACAAAATAGAATTCTCAGAACAAAGTATTTCAACAGGCTTCCTTTTCTTCTTTCTCTATCGATCCTGACGATAAATATTTAAGTGATCGTCAGTTAGATGATAACAGTTCAGGAATTGGCATCTGAATAATGTTCATTCTTTTCAACGCATATATTATTCATGCACATACATACATACATACTGCTTTATCCAATAAACACGCGATATTAGGTCAGAAAAAAGTATATTTTTTTCATGTTTTTCAACTATCTAGCTAGTGATTATCCTATTTTTATAGCCTTTATTAAAACGCTTAATTTACATGAAGCAGTCTATTTTCTTTAGTGCATTATTTTTATAAATAACGTTCATCACTTCGTAAATATATTCCAAGAGTTCAGTTTTGTTTTTATTGCTGCTCCCGTTTATCAGTCTACACTGTTGATGATCACAAGAATTATCACTTGAAGACCATATTATATGAATAATACTTATTATAGATACATTTTTCGTTGTATCCCTAATAGTAGCAAAGTTACATTTCTGACGTTTAGTGACTTAATATAAGCCATTAAAAATTCAAAGTTTAAATAGTATTATTTAAACTTGTGTTAATTTCGATTATTTATCTACTCTGAAGAAGTGACTTACATCGAGTCATGAAACGTCAGTCACACAACTTTTCGACTCATCCGGAATATCACAGAAAAATATCTTTATAATTAATTCTTTATTCAACGCTCAATTTCTTTGAAACTATCAAATCCAACCTTAGCACTGATATAAATAATACTTATCATTATTATGGTGAGACTATAATTTATGGACGATCTTTGAGCGACGCTAAAGTGATTTTGAGAGTGTCTACCTAATTACTAGGGCTAAGTGAGGGTTATAAAGCAGTTTGAAGAATAAGGATTATGATTTATAGTTGATGGTTGGGTCAGGAATTAGATTTAGGGTTTTCATCACTAACTGACATCAGCTATAATACCAGGATTCCATTTAGCCAAATGGGTGAATGAATTTCGCGCCAAAATGTAAGACCTCTTATCGTAAATCTGATTGGTTCGCCCATAAATTGTAGTCTCGCCCATTATTATTACCATTTTTATTACTATTATTGTTACCATTATTATTATAATAAATACAGCGTTAGGATATAGATCTGATCGATCATGTATTTATTCAACAAAATATTTCATACATGTCCTACTATTTGCTTTATTTTCTAAATATTATTTTTCTACACAACCACCATTGTAATATTGTTTTCATTATTGTTTCTATCTTTAGAACATTCGAAGTAATTTACCCCAACCATGTAGATTAATTCAGGCATCCGATTGTGTTGAAGATATTTGGGGTCAAATGATGAAACACTTTGAAACACATTCACGTTTTATTGTACAGTTTGTTAAATACATTCCAGGTAAGTGTATTGTTGCCATTTTCACTTTGTTTGTTTTTCTGTTGATTGATCTCCTATTCTCTCTCTCTCTCATTCTCGTTATTCTTTTTTTGACGTTGTTCATGTTTTTCTATTATCTTTCATTTGGGATTACAAATACAGCGCCATTTGATTCTAAAATATGTTGTGTAATGTAAATTCCACGTATTGATCCATGTCAAAAACTGCCTGCAAATCAAACTATAACCAGACTATAACATTGCATATTCGCTGACTGTTCTATTGTATCGCAAATTAATTGAATTCGACAATATGAATCTTTGGATTCAAAAATGAATTTTTTTAAACGTTAAACACTGGTTATGTTGCCTGAATGACCTCAGTTCAATCCTTGAGTTAAGGTTATAGTCTCACATTGTTGATGAGTCTCTTACCATGAGGAAACAATTATCTTCTTGTTCTCCGATGGTAGTTGGCTGATATCAACTCGTGACAACAAGCACACAAGTTATTGATTTCCTTTTCTTAATGATGCAATTGTGCGGTCAGTTGCTATTCTCTCACTTCCTTCATCGTACCCCATTCATTAAAATATTTTCGATAGATAAGTATGTTTGTGTATAGTAGTATATGTTTGTATTTCTAAATGTCAAATACTTCCGTCCACTTTTTTTACTTCACTGTACACTCAATAAATTAATCACTAAATTGTAGCGTTATTTTCAAGTATGTGATAACGTTGATTACATCATGTCTCGAGACAGACAGATAGATAGGCACGCGAATAAAAAGGAGACATTTTGTCTATGGGATTTTTGCGGGGGGGGGGTAGAGCGGGGGAGGAAAAAAAATTACAGACGTTTCAATATTTTTCACATGATCCTCACTGGATTTATATACACGAAATGATGACGATAATCATAAAGAGGATGATGGTAAATACAGACAGAAAAGACAACCAAATCCTCGTTTGTTGTAGTTAGATTTTATTATATTGTATATGTAAATACTTTTATATTTTTTAAGAATCCAAGCTCAATAATTTGTAACATATGTATAAATGTTTGGTTGACTTACGCTTAATTTACTGTGTATTGATAATCTGCCATTTAATGATTGAATTACAATCTTTGAATTAGCATAAACATTTGAGAACAGATAGAACGAAAAATCGCATTGGTTTTTAGTCATTTAAGGTTTGATTAATATCCTTAACTAGTTAACAGATAGAAACATCATTTTTAATAGTTGAATTGATGAGTCGATTTGAGCTAGACTATCACTGAAAACCTGGAATTACTGGAAAGCCGTTTCTCCTTAGAATGGGACTTCTCAGCAGTGTGCGTCCAAGAGCCCGTACACCTGATCCGAACCCATGACCTTCAATCTTGCGCGTGAACGCCTAACCTCTAGACCACTAAGCCGGCTTCTAACGGTTTTAATGTCTAATTTCAATCTTCTCATGATCTTACGCAACCCTTCATCCATTGCCTGGGGTGGATTACTGTTTCACATTCGACATGAATTGGACTACACTAGTTACGACTTCTCATTTTAACTCCAGGAAATCCCCACAAACCCCCATTCTAATAAGAAATAGAATTGACAAAAATATTTTCTATACAATACATAAAATTATAATTAGTGATCGTATGGTGAATGAATATGGTGATTAGTTGGAAGTAATGTAACTATATGATGTGATTCTAGATTTCGTGCTAACTGGTACTTTTTTTACAAGACAAATTAACAGTCCTACTGGTAGATTATTGTCATTATGAGATGTAATTGTTTTTTACTCAGTGACATAAACAGTTGCAATGTTATCAATTGACGAATTCCAGCTTTAGTTGAATTCACTGTTATGTCGAAAGTAAACTGTAAAGTGTTTTGCGGGTTTAGTTTGTATTAGGTCTCGTGAAATCGGGCTGTAATGACAGCTGTACGACCTCTCTGTAGTTCAATTATCGGTTAGTTCATATATGTTGCAAGTATGACTAGTGATCTAATTACCAACTGATACAATGACCAATGAACAACAATCAGGACCTCAACGTCTACTGTTCTTCAATTTCTTTCTAGTGTAATGATCAATTAGAAGACGAAGATAGAAAGAGGATCAGAGTAAAAGTATTTTATACTGACAACTTTAAGTGACTCATCAGCCAATCAGGAAACGCTGCTTAGTTATAAAATAATTAACAGTACGAAGTAATAGAATAACCGGAATAATATCTTTGATCTTAATAATCAATCCTCACAAGTCAAAATATCCCTTCCGGTAAAGAAAAAAAAGTTTACATATATACATGCATACTAGGAGTCGGGATAGTTAGGTTATCACCCGATAGAGTTTTCGTCGCCAACTGACATTAGTTATAACGCAAAACTTTTAGGGATAGCTATTAAAAGTTAAACTAGAGCTTAGAGTTGGGTTTAAAAATTGGGTTCATCGTTTTCTGCACGAATTGACATCACCAACCGGGTTGGTGGACATGGAGAGTTCACCTAGGGTAGTTGGAAAACCCTCATCCCAAACCAATGATGCACATGGATCCCAGTATCCTGAAGGAACAAACGGCGTATGAACCAATCGTTGATCACCTGCTACTGTGGGACTGCATCTCCTCACGATGCTCCACTGCCTTGTGGATCAGACCTTTAGTTCAAAGGCTCTGGGTGTGACCCCCTAAGAAAACCACCTGCTTTGGTTTGAGCACCCGGTCAGTATCACAGCCGTCACACATATCAAGTGAGATTTGTATGGCGCATATGTATTTGGTGCCTCCTTGTACCAATATCTATGTGTTAAAATGAATAAATAATAAACTAGACCTAAATTTGAAACACTTGATGCCTTTTTTTTTTCCTTGCATAGGACTTCTAAGCAGTGTATATTTGTGACTTCACATCCAACAGTTGAACTCAAGGAATTTAGTCTCACATGTAAATGCTTAACCTGTAAACCACTGAGCTAGCATCGAAATTAAAAAAAACTGACATTTTTGTTAACGTTTTTTTTAGACGATACATCATAGTATTTGATTATTTAAACTTCTAGTAAGTGCAATGGATGTTCAAACTTTAGAACTGTTAGTTAAAAGTCTAAACCTAATGTTCACGATAGTCGTAAATTTGAATCATTGAATATAGTCTGGAGGGTGTCGGGTTGTCTTAAAATTACCTTCTTGCAAAGTATATATATATATATATATATATATATATATATATCGGTAGTACGTCCAGATTTCAACTAATATGTTTCAGCTTCATACTTTCTCCATTTATATTCATTCGGTCAGCTGAACAGTCTTTTATTAGTTTTGTTATGATGCATAGCATGACTTGAAGTTAGAATACATTGATTTGTATTTCTCAACTGGTTTTCTTTTTAAGTTGATAAAGTTTCGTGTGTATCACTTAATTTCTTCTCTTTTTTCCAACTATCATGTAAATAATCATTACTATTCGTGGATTAGTTGAAGTTAGATATTAACACTGTTGGATGCTATCTCAGTGGTCTAAAGGTTAAGCGTTCACGCGCAAGATCATTAGGTCTTGGGTTCGAATCTCACGAAGCGAGATCGTGGATGCACACTTTTGAGAAGTCTCATACTAGTATGAAACGGCCGTTCAGTGCTTCCAGGTTTCCCACGGTGGTCTAGCTTCAATTGACTTATGAACTCAACTATTAAATTATTATACATTGAATAAACCGATTTAATAATAAAAATCAATATCATTATCTTTGAAATAATCTCAACGATTGATATTCAAAGAATCGATTATAACCCTGAATAAGTCCAGATAAGTTTACTGAACAAAGTGTTGGAATTATTTTTTAGATTTCAATTGTTGAGATTATTCCAAATATAATTTTCATCTATAAATAAACTTCTTTATACTGGGCGCCCTAATTTTTATCCTACTATTCGTTTTAATATTGACGAATATTCTATCGCATAGCTACTTTTTTGTGTGTTTTTTTTCGTTCTAATAAACATTTCTGTCATCCCATTTTATCCAATAATCACCTTTCCTTTCAACGATGAACGTAAATAATTTACACAAAAAAAAGAAGAAAATACCAGTGATACTCTTTCCGAACGTTGTCATGGATATCGATAACCACCTGTTCTTGAATAGGTTATATCTGATAGAGTTTGTGTGAATGGATACACAAATACACATTTAAAAAAAACAAACAAAACAAGTTAACTGATCGCTTATTTTTAGAATCTTTTTAAAATCATACCCCTCCCTTTATCATCATTAAAATTTAGGAATCACAATAATGATGTAATGAATGTTAGACTAATAAAATCGTATCCATTTATCTAGACATTTTATACTCTTATTACTTCATAGGTTTTATTCTCTCTTATTGTTGGTTAAACTCAGTTTTTGTTGTTGTTGTTGTTGTTGTTGTTGTTGTTGTATTTATTTATTCAGTGTGCTAATAATTAAGTCTCTTATTATATTCATATGTGAATAGATTATACTTATATACACAAAATCCATTATATTAAGTATTTGTCTATTTCTCTATAATTGACATTTGTTAACCTGTAAAGCAATATTTAGTGTTATATCGAATATTTCAATGTCTAGTCAAATAGAAGAGTTATTACTCTCTCTATATTCGATTCACAACATTTCTTGTTTATGCGTTGGAGATTATTCCCCCCTTTTTTTTCTCTCTCTCTCTCTCTCGTTTTTATCATGTTGTTTTCCTGCTTCTATTTCCATCGTCTGTCTGTCTATCTATCTGTCTACTTGTATTTTTTTTTCTATTGTGGATAATAAGTTGAACTTCGTTATTATTATATTGTTGATTGCCCTGTAATGATAGTAAATAGTATCTCGATCAGTCATATTTCAATAATGGAAGAGAATGCAATTAATGGTTTTTGTTTAACCCTAGAGATTATAGATGAAAAAATAGATTCTTTTTTAATGATTTCACTATAGCTAGATTAATTTGAAAGTGGAATGTTTTCAACACGATGTTAGTTTATAGA